TTCGGTCGATTTCCATTTGATTTCGTGCCCCTTTCGTGTAATGTGTTCCGCTATTTCGGATCTTTCCGTATCCATATTCCTAAAGAGTCTTTGATGTTCCTTGATTCGTAGGCCGATTTATCTTCCTGTTTAACCAATATACATCTAATCACAGTTGTCGCAATTGATGCGATAAACTCCTGAGCAATCAAGTCCGTCCGTCTTCTCGTGTTGCGTCGGTAGATTCGTGAAAAGTGTTTTATTCTCCTTGATATTCCATTCCCTTAGTAACGGTCACAATTGATGGTTCTGTTCTGATGAGGGCAGGCAAATCCACTTCTGATCGTCCTCCTGATTCCTGATCTGATTTTTATAAAGTCTGAGTTAAAATCTGCACTTTATAACCTCTACATTTTTTTCTATCACGTTTCTGTGGTATTCGTTACCAAGGCAAATCCGTGTCAGCCTGTCCAACTCAGTGTCCATTAATCGTAAGCTTCTAATGATCAAACTCCTCAGTATTCCGATCTTCAGTCTGTAGTTATGGTGAGAATGAAATTTAACGATTATTACGCATATGAATGATTTCTGTATAATCTCCTCATGAGTGTCCCGTTGGAGCACATGACTTCAATATACAAAAAGGGTAGTCGGTCATCCTTCTCCACCTCCATTGTGAATTCAATCATTTCATCAAGGTAAGGAATTTATTTTAATTTTCCTTACTATGTGACCAAAGTGCAAATAATCATCCAAGTATCGCATAAGCACTTTCGGTTGCAGTGGTAACTTTTCGAATCCCCCTTCTAACTTGTCCATGTACACATTTGCCAAAAGAGGTGAGAGTGGAGATCTCATCAGTAGTCCAACTATTTGCTCGTAGATTCTGCCGTTAAATGTAAACTATGTCGTATTTACTATCAGGTTGATCAATCGTGTCAACGATTATCTCCGTATCCCTTCTGCCTCCAGGATGTCCTCTTCTCGCTCCAATATCTCCAGCGAGGCGCTTACTGCCTTCTTACCTGAGATGGAGTATACTTCAAAACTCGCCAACAGTTCCGTCCCAACCAGCCCATTGTTCTGGATCCTTTGAATAAATTAATTAGTCACTCAGACAAGGAGTAGCACAGATGGAGAAACAGAGGTCGAGTGAAATACGTGAACCAGGGAGATAGCAGACGGATCTTACGGGACAAGAGGGAGACTGTGATAAGACCTAGAGAAGGAGAACGGCGTAGAAATGTAGCAGACTCTGATCAACATTCCCAACACATGGGTAAAGGGGGGTGAGAACGCCAGCGTTGAATGTAGAGGATTTTCATGAATGCCGCTTAAAGAAGCACACCAGACTACATATATATAAGCCCGGTAAAAAATTGTAAGTGAAGGCGTGATACGAGGATATAGGAAATGTGAATAGCCCAGTGAAGAAGGAGAGATACCACAACTCTTTTAGCACAGGCCGGTCAAAGTATCGGCTTCACTTGTCACTTTGATGAGTTTTAATGTGGTGCTAAGAATGGCAAGACTTACTGAAGATGCCGACTACGATGCTGGCGAAACGTCTGGGAATGTACCACGTATACGGTCCGACTTTGGAAAGGATCATGCATACAATGGACTCCGGACAAGATGCGTTTCTCTAAGTCTTCCTACCAATATAACCAAGTTGGAAAACATTGTCAAAATAAATTAAATTATTTTGTTCAAATGCAATTACTAATGAGGCTTTAGTTTTATTACATTAAATCTATATAACATTTCTTAGGCCTGTACAGAAGCCCAAACTTTACATCATAAGGCGTAGTTCCGAATTATCTGCCAAACACTAATGTGAGCTGTCATATCCGCTGGGTTGTT